TAAAGGTTTGGCAAAGTCTCAGTCCTGCTGTCAGAGGAAGCCTGATTACACACTTTCATTTACAGATTTGTATTTTCATTCACCTTCAGTGTGGACCCTTACCTGATAGACAGCCCAAGCTATCTAATCTATCCACCTGTTACAGGGAGGGTATCTGGCATAAGACTTTTCAAGCAGAACTAAAGCTTTAAAGGCAGCTGGGATTTACAGCCACTTTGAACTACTGTTGGATGGTGCAAAGGCCAAGATGTCCAGTGTTTAGGAATACCACTGCACTGAGCCTAGCTGGGCTAGGATTTGTTGCTTCTTTGAGAAGCAGAGCAGGCGCAGCCAGAAAGGTCTCTTCGCTCAAGCTTCTATTTACATTCCAGAAAGTCGAGTCTCAAGTTCATCAATCGTGCACAATCAGTATTTGGCTAGTGGGTGGAGGTAACTGAAGGCAGCTGGTGACAAAGTGGGAGAGGTGGGTGAATTGTTTGCCAGGAAAAAGCTGAAAAGTTTCAACAACAACAACAAAAAAGTTTTAAAGAAGAAAGATCAGAATGAGTGAGAATAAAGGTCAATATTAACAAGGGGAACAGCAAGGGAATGTCTATTTTAAGGAGATCACAGCATGAAAGCAAGCACAGAAACATGCACAGTTCTCTTTAGAGAATAGGGCAGAAAGAAAAGATGCTGCTTGTGTTTAAATCAGCACTCCATCCAGGGAGAAGAACAAAATTTAGGAGTTTGCAAGGAATACAGCTAATAGATCACCTGGGCATGTGCTAAAAAAGAGATTATAGGATAGTAAAGTGGAATTCCCAATGGAAGTAATTATAATTTCAGCTTTTCACATGGTGTGCAGATTTACCCAAGGTCCAAAGAAGAATACTGAAGTTATTGCTTATCAAGCTCACCTTCTTCCCCCAGCATTTTGTACCTCTTTCTCCCCCCGCCACCTTCAAACACAACTCTTGGTAGTCAGAGCAGCTTAAATTCTGTTACCAAAAGCAGAGAGCTGTATATGAAGAAATACAATACAAATACCCATGGCTCTCTTGTAGATTTTGTTACTAGTGAATGCTAGCTTACTGAAAAAAGTCCTTCATAGGCTTCTCTCAGATGGGGCCTGTGACAAGTTCCTAAGACTATTGAATCTATAATTAGCAGCCTCACAGTGGTTGTTGAGACGAGTATACAGACCACAGATATGAGCTCAGAAGAGGGGACTGATCCTGCAGCCATGAAATCAAATGACTCCTAAGTACAAATATTTTGCTTTACCATCAGTTGATAGCTGAAGTCATAGCTCTCCATTCATGCTAGCTCCCAATCTGTACAAAAGCTAAAGCTAACCACCTGTCATGCCACTGTGCAGGCAGTGCTTATAAATGACCGTCCCAGAACAGAACCAAATTCTGGTCTTTAATGTAGACAGAAGTTCAGGTGAAGACTATAAATCCCACTTGAACATTTACAGAAACGTAAGTAGGCAAGCAGAATATCTACACCATAAAATTCTTGTGAACCTTCCTCATATTAAATATTTGAACTGGTTTTTTTTTCCTATTGACATGAATTGGTAAGAATTGAAGCAGAAATCTTACTTCACAAATGGATCCATGCTCACCTGTAAAGAATATTAGAGATAGCCACTGCCTAAGGAAGATGTACTATCTATATTTTAAGAAAGGTGGATTAGAGATGGAAGAAATCACCCCGTTGAAAAAGTGAATGAAAATTCCCATCTGCCACTCAACTCTGATTTCCACTACTCGCACTCAGACAATAAAACTTTCTATTTCTTTTAAGACAGATTCTAGCACGCCCTTGCCTTTCCATATAGGCAACAGAAGCCGACCCAAAGCTTGATGAGACTAGAAAGAATCTGGAGGTGGTCTGCACTACACTGTGTTCAGATGGGCCAGAACCTGGCTATCAACCAATTCAACTTGTACTCATGCGTACACAAGTCAGCTATTAACCCCAGAAGTTCTTAAAACATCTAAAATTTCTCAAGTACCATGTCCCAGTGCTGAAACCTAATCACATATTTGGATGTTATAGACAATAATTTAAGGATAGACACGAGGCATATCTTCAGTTGCTACCTCAAAAAACCAGCAAACCCTAACAGTGGTCTCAAACTTGAATTATTTATATGGTCTCAAGATGAACCGGTCAATTACTAGTCAGAATGTTAGTATATGAGCATTTTTTGTTTGTTTGTTTGTTTGTTAAAAAAAACTACATTTTTGCTGAAGCTAAAAATGCATTTGCAAATATGTTAATAATTTCTAGATTATTTCAAGATCTGAAAGGATTATCTGAGCTACACTTTAATTTGGCTTCAGAAGTTCCCTGTGAGATTGACAAGCGCTTCAAGATTGCAACACATAACACAGTTTGATTAAGGCCAAGCATCAAGTCAGTGGTAGAGCTGAGTTCTGCAGCATGGTATTCTGCTATCAGCCTCAAACTTCACTTCCTTTTTTCTACTAGCAAAATATATTGTGGTAGTATAACCTTCCCTCTTCTGTGTAATAGAAATAATTGTACTATTTGTAAATCTTCATACTGGCAAGTTAAACATACATATAAATTCTACTAAATTAAATTTTAAAGCAAGACTGTTTGGTTAGATCATGTAAATAGAATGCTGTAAGACTTGCTGAGTTCTGAGAACTGAAACCACAGACAGCCAAAATACAGCTGCACACAGTCAGATATGGTGCGTCTGCTAATATTGGAAACTTTATCATGCAGCAGCAAATTTAACTTCTGATTAGTACATGCACAGAAGAAATACAGGCTGAATGTACTAGAACAAAAACAAAAACCACTCCAAGGTCATAAGTTAAGAAAGCCAAGGGTACTCAGTTATTTTATGGAGTACTTGAGAATATTCATTAGTTGTACTACTAGGGCACCTAAGAGCCCCAAGCATGGGCCAAGGCTCAGCTATGCTCATCCTTGTAAAAATACAAAAAGCAAAAGATAAACCATAAATTGTTGTAGGCCATAGCTAAGGGTTCATACAAAAGCAGGGCACTGTCAAGTGTCAAACCTCCTGACTTTTAATGATGTACATCTAAAGCCCAGAGCTCAGTTCCTTGGGTAAATGTTAAGCTGGTGCTAGATTTACCTGCTGAGCAGCAGGCCACCTGGAGTTGGATGACGTGCCTGAACTCCCACTCTTCCTGGCACTTCAGGCATTTAAACCAAGACTGGAAGGGAGACACATCTGTCAATTCATGAGACAGATTTTGGAGCCTAGATTCAGTAAAGCCAGAGGGATTCAGAGGTATGCACTAAGCATCCTTCCTCAGACACTGTAACAGTATGCAAGAAAGACCTTGAGATACATGGAACAAGAAAGATACGCACTTGCTCCAAGCTGGGGACACCCTTCTGCAGCTTAATGGTTAAAGCATCAAGGAAGAGAGTCACAGGTTCCAATGTGGGCTTTTAAAGTTGTTTCTAGTTTTATCACATAACTTAGATGTAAAGATATACAAATGATGCATTAAATAAAATCACATTGCCCAAATGAGTACCTTAACTAACAAGCTATGAAGTTGGCTTAACTCTTGCTTATTTTCATTCTGGTCTTGCAACTCTTGCATCGTGAATATGAACACAAGGCAGAACTTCTCGTGCCAACTTCTTTCAGGTGCTTTCTAGTTAAGGCAATTAGGGCTTGCAGTGTTTGTGTTTTCTGTTAAAAGTGTCGGAATAAATATTTATTTTTAGGACCCAGTTCTTTCTTTGGATCTGACTGTAAGTGTTGCAGGCTGGAACAGTGACATAGAATATGTTGTGTAAGTTACATACATCAGCTTTAAAAAAAACATAGCAGCCTTTTAGATTTATTTATATTTTTCTAGACTTGTATTGGTAGTGAAAGGAGCTTGTCTGCTTTTCACAGCACATATTGCTATGTTTAAGAAGCGTTCTTACAAATTCTCAATCTGGCACCTCAAATAAAACACTGAGTCACGAGTCCCTTGAACCCCAAAGTTGTTCATGCTTCTATTTACTTCTTCAGCCCACTAAAATGCCAGGATGTTATTCTCAGCCAGTTTCTCACAACTTAAGTATTAACAGCTTGCGAGCTAAGCAGCAGGCAGTGGTACTGTTATATCACTGCTTTCAATTTCAAGCTGCCTTGCTTAAAAATGCACCCTAACTTTTCTGCCTTCCTGCGGGTCTGCAGCGCAGCCAGCCCTCCCGGGCAGCGTGGCAGCGAGCTGTATCGCACCGCCGCTCAGCCCAGCACCCCCAAAACCCAGAGCAGGCACAGGCTCCGCACACCCATGGCACGACCCTCGCGGCGGAAACCCTGGGGCTCTCCGTCACCTGGAGCGTTTTTTATCCGTATCGGGAATTTAATTGTTCCCAGTCCTGTAGAAGTACTCACAACATGAGGTGTGCCACGACGCCCAGCAACGGGCACGTCTGGCACTACCTGCCCGCCCTCGAGCACCACGACGCCCTGGGGCGCGATATAGGGGTCGGTCCCGCCCCGCGGGGTGCACGGCAGGGGATGCTCGTCAGCAGGGCGCGGTGGTCTTTGAACACCCTCGCCCACCCAAACCCCGAGGCGGGAGCTCTCGGTAGCGTGCTAGCTGCGGAGGCATGGGGGGCGCGGGCGCGCCCCTGCCCCTGCCCGAGCCAGGAGGTATGCTGCTCCCCGGGAGCGGTAGCCGGGCGCGGGGCTTCCCTCTCCTTCGCCCCACACAAAGACACGGCAGAGCGGCGGGGAGGCGAGCCGGGCCCCGCCGTGCCTCTCCTGTCCCGGCTTCTCCCCTCGGCGCCGCCTGAGGGACACCGACCCCGGGCAGGGGCATCGCCGCCCCTCGGGGGACCGCCCGCCCGGGGCTCGGGACGCACCGCGGCGCCTGCCGCGGGGCCGGGGGCGCTCGGGGCGGGCGGGACGGCGAGGCGCTCTGCGCGCAGGTAGCTCCCTGCTAAAATGGAGGGAGCGGAGAAATGCGGCGCTCGCCGGAGAAACTTACCGGAGGAAACCGACGAGCCGGACAAACTGGAGTTGCTGGATGCGGCCATGGTCCCTCCTCCTCGCCCCTTAGCTGCGAGCCCCGCGTCGGCCCCCGCTGCTGTCCGGCCGCCGCTGCCGCCTGCCCATCGCAAAGTGCCGGAGCCGCTCCGCGCCGCCGCCGCAGCCCGCGCTCGGCCCCCCGCGCCGCCGGGGAGCAGGAGGCGGCCGTGACCCGCTCTCCGGGGCTGGGCGAAGCCGCTCGTCAGGTCACGGAAAGGGCCCCGCGGCGCTTCCAGCGCCTCTCTCCGCCCTGGGGAGCAGGGCTTACCTTGTGACGGGGATGGGAGAGCCGCCCTGCCAGCGCCTTCCCTCGCCTCCTCCCTTCCCTTCCCGTCCCTTCCCTTCCCCGCCTCCTCGCGGGTAGCGCTGACAGCCCGCCGGGGGAACCCGCCGCAGCTCCCCTCACGCACACAAAGGAAGCGGCGGCGCTGCCGGCCGGGCTGCTCGCCCCGGCTGAGCGGGCAGGGTGGGTCCCGGCCGGGCGAGCCCCGGCGGCGCGGCAGCCCCGCCGAGCGGCGACCAAGGCTCTTCCCGGCCGCCGACGCCTGGCACGGAGCTGGGGGCGAGCGCGGCTCCTGCCATGTGCCGGCGGCCGTCCCGGCTGGGCGGCAGCGCCTGTTGAGCGCCTCGGCCCGGCGGCCCCTCGGCCGTGCCGCAGTGTGGGCTCCGCGCCCCGCCGCCCCCCGCCCTGCCGGCGCTCGCCCCCACCGCCCTTTGTCCGCCTCCTTTCCCCGCGGGCTGCCCTCCTTTCCCACAGTTCTCCCCCTCCCGCCTGGCACGCTCACACTCTCACTTTTTTCCTTTTTATTGTTTGTTTGTTTGTTTGTTTGTTTGTTTGTTTTGCTTTGCTTTTTTCCTCCCTCCTGGCATCCGTTTTTTTAAAAAAACACAGAAATCAGGCCGACACCAGCACCGGATTTTCCCTGCCAGGTGCATGGCGGGTGCTGCGGGGTCCCGTCCCGGCCACAATTAAAATCTGTCCCCCCACCTCCTCTCGGAGCACTCCCGGTCCCGGCGGCTCTGGGGGCGCAGGGGGGGCGGCTGCCACGCATCCAACGGGGCTATGATGCGTCTGTGGCCAGCCAGCCTGGGCTGCTGCCCTGTGTCTTAGTGTGCAAGGGGGAAAGAGGAAGAGCCAAGAAAGAATCGCTTGGAGGCTTCCCCCTGCCCTTCACGTTCCCTTTGCAGTGCTTCATCGCCAGACAAAGCTTCCATCTCAATTTATAAAACGAGGCTGGGAAGACGACAGGAAGGTGGGCACTCGAGTGGCATGGCACGGGATCTGTAAGAAACTTACAACCTGTTTGCCATGACGCTGATTTATGAAAGCCTTCCATGTTTCGTAACAGGGAGTCTGTAAGACAAAGTTCCTTCGGGAGTGAGGAAGAGCATTAAAGTCTCTTTGGCAATCTAAGCCTTACCCATCCGGCCACACCGCGTCTCAGACCAGCGTGCAAACCGCCTGCCCACTCTGTAACCCGCGCCCAGCCGCTTCCCGTTTCTCCCGCAGCCAAAATCCACTCCGGGCTCCCTAAACCCTGCAGTCGATTCCCATTTTTATCTCGGTAAAACAGGTCCCGGGACCCCCTCTAGCGGCGGAGACACCAGCGGCAGCGATCGGCAGCGGGGCGCCGGGTCCCGCACCCCCCGCGGGGTTCCTGAAGGGAGCGGTGGGAACGCGGCTGAAACCAGCTTGCTTTTCCAGGTTTTATTTTGTAATGACGGCTTTCTCCGTGTGAGAAGGAAAGAGCTTTAAACCAACTCCTATTAATCTGTAAATTGCCCCGTACAGACATAAAAACAGCACAGGCGTGTCACTGCTTTTTGGTCTTTGGCCAAATATTTCGTGTCAAGCATTTTGAAGACTGAATGTTGAGACTGAATGACTACATGAGAAAGGCAGATAGGTCATAAAAACATATTTGGGATGTAGGAAAATATTGTTCTAATAAGGTAAATGTCAAGATTGTTCTGGTAAGTTGTTCACTCCCAGTGTTTGAGATGTTTTGAGCAGCTGAATAGGATTCGCTTGTCTCCCACGTGGTCGTTTTTCCTGCTCCTCCTGCTATATCTTTCCTTCTAGTATTTGCCTCCTTGTAGTCTGTTACGTCTTCATTTCCCCCTCCATAGTGTAGCTCCGTGTAGCCCTCCAACAACTGTCAGAAATGTGTCCCATATAACTGGTGAAATATGGACAGGCAACTGTTGATAATCTTAGTGGTAACTGAATGTACAAGGTTGTGTAACCTTAATTTCTACAACATTGAAAGGTAAATTAATAAATTTAAGTGAAATGTACTGTAGATTAAAAGAAACTTTCATATTTCCAGACAGGATGGCCTTTTTCTTTTTAAGAGCAAAGAACATAAAACCCATGAAATTAGAGGAGAAATTACTGGATCAAAGGGGAAGCAAATTTAAAGAACACAAAAGTAGCCTTGTTATGTGTAAAAAGTGCAAAGGGAAGACATTCCAATATAATCTCGGTCCTATTTTGCAGAAACTTTGAACAGATTCTGTCCTAGTCTAATTTGTGCAGAGCCCAGATTTATCCATTACGAGTGATACAAATACTCAGATATCAAGAATAAACTTTAACTGTAAACTAGATACTGTGATGTAAACTGTTCCTGGGATTTCCACAAGTGTACACTTCATATAAATCTGATAAAAACCTTCCACTTTACCTTCCCTATAGAAATAAATGTAGCCTGCTTCCATGATATCTACACTTTGATGAGTCCCAGCTTCCAAAAGTTTTGAGGAATTCAGAAAAATGCGATTTTCCTATGTATGACCTTAGAACACTGCATTTGACATTAACAGTGACTTGCAAAGGAAAAACACTGTACTGTTTGCTTTGCATTACTCATGAGAAAGATCTGAAAGTTGTTTGGTTTTTATTCCTGGGGAAGATTCCTTGAAGATTTCCTTGCTTCTGTATTGGTTCTATGCAGTTTTTACTGACAAGAGTTTCAATGTTTGGTTTTTTGGGGCTGTTTGTTTGTTTGAGTTTGTTTGTTTTACTTAAGAGATTAAAGAGTTTCTCAAAGGACAAAGATTTAACAACCCAGTCCTCAGTCTACACCTAAATTCCAAAGAAGTGACTGCCTGCCTAATGCTGAAGCCCAGCTAGCAACATGATATTTGAAATAATTTAACTCAGTGTGGAAGAGGCCAGTGTTTTCAAAAAACTAATAGATACGGGAAGCTCCAAGTAATAGCTGGAAAATTAAAGGAAGCCAAAAACATTGCTGCTTGTGTCTAAGGAAATCTCAGAAAATACATTAAAGGATATTTCTGTACCCTAATTATCCACTCTCATACTTCTGCATGGTAGAATTCCTGTTCAAGCTAGAATTTACACTCATTTTATTCTCCAATAACCAAAGATTAGTAAATACCATGGCATTACAGCAAACAATAAATGTTGCAGCCCAAGAACTATTGAACCCAACACAAAAAAAAAAATAAAATTACGTTTGGAAGTAACTTTCTTTCACCGTGTAGTTCTGAACCTGTTGACATGTGGTTACATGCACAATTTCATTGTCACACAAATTCTGATGGAACAATGTGTTTTGGTGAAATTGTAAGTCTAAGCAGGATGAGGACCTGCATTTGGAGAGCCATCAGTGCAAAACGTAGTGGCTTTGACAGCTGAGGACATGACTGTGCTGCTTTTGTGTTATGGAGTGGCCTCTGGCATGGCCTTGGTTCCCCAGACAACTGGTATGTACTGGTTTGTGTCCTTATTTCAAAACAAAGGCTCTGTATATTAGGTAGGCCACCTGCCTGCTGCTTGGTCATTAGTATCATAGTTAACTTTTAATAACTTTGTGAAGGTAAATCCCAGCTGAGAAATAGTTTTTAATGTTCCCATGTGATAAAAGCAAGCAGAAAGTCACCCTTCCCTTGGACAGCAGGATGAAAACCTAGAAATAACAAATAAAGGAAAGCAGGCAGAACTGTGCTGCTTTTCTTCAAGAAGCCAGATTTTCCCCTGTTGACCAAATGGCTTATTGCATAGCTAAGTATCAACGAATTTAACATCCTGGTTTCCTCTCATTCAACTTCAGACATAGTAGGCACTTTCACAGGGAAGGCAAAGGCCTCTGCTTAAAACTTCTTTCATTTTATTAACTTGGCAGAATGCTTCCTGCTGCAGAAAAAGAGATCTAAAGTACAAGTATAGATAGAAAATAAAAGGTCACTAGATGGGGCCTGCAGCAACATGAGTCTCTGTATAATCCTGGTTCACTCTAGCTGAAAAAAATTAATCTGAAGCAGACAATAATTTATATGGCTATCTTTCAGCTGTTGAAATCTCCATTATACAGGAGCCATTTCATAAGAGCCCTCTGGCTCATAAGAATCTGGCCTGAAATCAGCACATCTTGAGTCTCTTCGGCCTTAAGCCCTCTCCATCCAATACACTTTGTGTTGATTTCCAGCAGCCAAGCCTCTGTAGGTGGCTGCAGCACAGTCCTTAAGGCCCTTCTGGTGTTACAGCATCTCAGATTATGTTTATGGAATCTGGCATAATCCGCTATATCTGACTGCTGGGTTATTGCAGTAGAGGAGTAGTGGCTTACTGTGTGCCATAAACCTTTGCCTGCCAGGGAGGACAGGAGTTTGAATCCTAGTTAATGAATTTATTTCAGGATGAAAACTGGCAGTTGTTATTTCAGTGTAAGCGTAGATAGCTTGGCAAAAATGTTGGGATTTAATTAATTATGTAAATGAGAGGAAGGTAAAAATGTTTGGCCCACTGCTCTGATTATGTAATAGGTATAGAAATATAAATGGCATGTGCAAGACAGCAAGACATATGACACAAAGATTTACTGTGCAAAGACCTAAAATGCTAATCCTTCCTTTGATGTTTATGTTGCTTAGCTGGAAAGGGAGGAAATGCATTTATCATTCTTTGATGTTGTGAAAGGGAACGGCCTTTATAAGCAATATATAATCCATATTTATATACTCTCCGCAGTACTTGGAAACTTTACTCAATATAAGCAGAAGCTGTAATAAGAAAAATAAACCAAAATATCAATAAAAAGCAGATGCACACTGTATTTGGATATGAATAAATTATGTGAGTCATAATGGTTGTAACAGCAGGTGGTGGTGTAGTTCAAGACTCTCTGTGATTCTCACTTTTTTCCTCATACTCCAAAGAGAAAGGTTTGAGACCCTTAATGCCTGGTGCAACTTTTAGCTCTGCACCTTCGATTGGTGAACAAACTAGAGGCATCTATTGAATTTTATTAGCTCTTTAAAAAACATACAGCAAATGGGTTGGTCATCACTTGAGAGTGCTAAAACCTGCTGCTATGACTAATTTATGAACATCCATCCTATTTGTCCTTTCCCCTTTCTTCCTGTCTCATACATTCTATTTTAATTAAA